GCACGATCAGAGCAAGGGTTTGTGTATCAGATACATCGATTATGTTCCGATCAGCTTTTATAATGTCTGTTCAGGATAAAAATGGTTTGTAGTAGGGTTAAAGAAAGGTTTTTTGTTGTTTGGAACCCTTGCAGTGTTTTCTTTTGCCCATACAAAACGTTAAAACGTTGAGCCAAGTTTGGGGTTTCTTTTGTTTCAAAAATTACGAAAATCAAAACTAATATTTTAAATGCGAAAGTAACTCTGTCTATCTATCTGAAAGTAAGTCTGTCTGTCTGTCTTTTCTTTACGCCTAAACTACTGAACCGGTTTCTGAAAAATTTACTACAGACATAGTTTGGAACTCGAGAAAGGACATAGGATAGTTTTTAAACCAAACATCTGCAGGAAGCCACTATTCCACAAAAGCTAGTCATTTATAATTTCACATACACAAAGACACTAATTTTTGGATTACACAAAGTGTTGTTCCGGTAGGAAATGGAACCCACGACACGTTTCACAGTAGCCCATTGCCCAGCTTAGCGTTTATTAATAAAAATAGAGTCTTTGGTAATATTCGTCTATTAAAATGTAGAAGTAACATAGTAACGTCTAAATGTCATGCAAATCTGTCGTAAAACTAAAAAATAAGTACTTCGAAAATAGAATATAAAATTAACTATCTTTCAACAACCAACTCAAAGTTCAGTTATGAAGTTTTATAGCCACAAATTGTCCATAAAATATTTATTTTCCGTACTAACTCAATACTATGGCACTGCTTTGTGTATTTACGAAATAGGCAACCGTGCCACCCGCATGTGTCATATTTTCTAAACGTAACAAAATAATGTTAACTGTAAATTTAAGTACACAAAACATTTGCATTCAATACTGCAATACAAAGTGTACGATAAATTTTATGAAATTTAACTAACAAGGAATTATAATTTAAATTCAACATATTTATTTAAAGTGTGGCCAGGAGGTTAAGGAGCCCGCTTCTCATGCATGAGACTTTTTCCAAGTTATATGTACTTTCATGATTATTTAGACACCACTGACACACGGTGAAGGTTAAACATCGTGAGGAAACCTGGCCTTATAATGTCTAATTATAAGTTTGAAATTACCAATCCGCATTGAGCAAGCATGGCGATTAATGCTCTAACCTACTCCGTATGAGAAGAAGCCTTTGTTCAGCAGTGGGCACTTATAGGCTGATGATGATGATAATGATATGTTTAAAATAACGCAATTACAGACATAAAGGCATAACAAAAACTCACAGTTAACACACTACAATCATACAAACAAACACACAGCCAAACAAACTTGACATGAACAGATTTATTATTCCCCCGAAGAATAAAAATGCATGTTATAAAAATGGCGGTGAAATTATGCAGCGGTAAATGTTAGTGGTTGGTAGTCGTCTATTGGGGGACAATGACCGCACTGGGAATCAATGAAAATGCTGGTTCATGTCCCCTAAGGGTGCAGTTTCCCTACCGTATAGGTATAACTTACGAACGTCCGTAACGTTCGTAAGTTATACCTATAGTGATGTGCGTTTGTTGACATGCCCGGATATTGTTCGGATTTCGATTGTAATTCGAGTATGTGATTTTGATACTTGCTTTGTTGTTATATTCTGATTGCCTTGTACTTACGAATGTTAATGTACGCATTTAGTGTTTTTTTTTTTGTGGCGGTTCAATCATTCAATGCTTTCTCAGAGTCTTATTAGCTAAAAAGCGCCCCATTCCTACTCTTGCTCACAGCCAGGCTGTGGCACAACATTTTACTTGTACCCGCAACCATGGATGTGTGTTGTGAAATATACCCGCATTGGATTGTTTCGAAAAAATAGTGTATGGCAGTCTACGTTTTGTTTCGGTGTACCTAAATGAAAGTAGTGTAAACTAACAGGTAGGTTTTTCAAACTATTGGCACAGCTGTTCAAGTATTCATTCATTCATTTTTGATAGGTATTCTGTTATGAATGTTTTCTTATTTTAAACATGCAATAATAAGCTCACGGCTCGTCAAATATTATGAAGGAGTTTCTTAATTCATTACAATAAAAACTTATGAAACGTTGGAGAACGTATACACGTCTATAGTAAATAAAAGACGTGGCATAGTTGATATTATGTATTTTTATTATTATTTTTTATTTCATAGGAGCAGACGGATAACCTGATGGTAAGCAATCACTTACGAATGCGTTGCCGATAATTTAAGGATTAGGGATTTGGATTTAGGGAATGGGGAGGGATTAGGGGAGGGGAATGATTGGGCCTCCGGTAACGTCACTCACACGGAGAAGTACAACGCTGTGATTGTTTCACACCGGTTATCTGTGAGGCCGTGGTATCACTCCAGTCAAGCCAACCCATTTGGGCCGAAGCATAGCACTCTTACACTTAGCGTGGCTCTCCACATCTTACCTTTAATCTTTTAAAACATACTTCAAGAGTTCAAAATACCTTCACATATTTTTACGCGCCGTTGCGCAGCGTCTCAAATAGATGGCGTTAGTTGTAAGGTAATGAGAAAAGTGCGTAGTACCGCGAACGAAGATAAAAGTTCTGTTACCAATAGGAATAATCTACCAAATTTTAATGTTACGTTGATTGACCATAATAATTATTCAAATAGAAACAATAAGAACTACGAAGACTGATCTAAAAGTAAGCCGTATTGTTTACAATGCGGTGTCTTAGCTATACCTATATAAATAATACCTACGATTTATTGGCAGACACTGTTTATATAAGAACAGAACGTGCTCTTTCGCCCCTTTCGGCGTCAGATCATCAACAAAAGCTAGGTAGTTACGGCTTAGAACTGGAACCATGGCACGTAATCCTCGAAAGCGTATAGTGCGACACGCATCTCCTATTTGCAGTAAACAATGACGTCACACTTCAATCTAGACTCTCGTCATGAGCAGTCAATAGACTATAATGAAATTCCCAGCCACGTCAGGTATCACAGATTGCGTCCAATATGCCCTGTAGGGGTGCACGAAGCACACACGAATAGTAGAACAAGACCAATATCAGAAGACCCCTTGTTTCACACCTAGATGTTCCGCATAACATCTGTGTTGCTGAACTAGAGGGGAACATAGCGGATCTCGTGAACCTGGTCAAGTATCATAGATGTATTTCATGCAATTTCTTGCGCCTCGAGGCAACGAAATGACATGCGGGATGCTTCGTGTTATATCGACGCCAATATTGTAGCCCCCTAAGCGGGGTCGTCGAATGAATATAAAGAGCCGAATGAAGTAATAACACAAGATCTGTTTCGAAAAAAATACTAAGGAAAACTTCAGTCAGCACGTCACACGTGAGATATTTATGATATTTTGGTACAGCAGTTTCGAAAGAAAGTTTCGTTTATAGTACGAATTGTTGTTTTATTTTTTGTGTTAGTACTTTATATTATACCACGTAGAGTGATCTAAAAGAAAGAGACTCTGTGCTAAAGATGAAAGGGTTAAACGTCGTTTAAGATAAAATATGGTGTTTTCGGAGAATACACTGATAATGTTCAGTGGTTTTATCTCGTTATAGTTTCTTGGAATATGCTTACTTGAAACTATTGTTCTGTGTGTAACCTCTAGTACTGGGACCTCTAGCCTATTAGAAGTTGACTGCGTGATTTTGCGTGACAATTAATACAATTTGTTACACATTGTAGTAAATAATGCGTGATACTAATAGATAATTATTACGTGTTTAACGAATGACATATGTACTTAGAATTTATATACATTGTTTAAATTGTACAAAATTTACAGTTTTTAAAGGTCAATTTTAAGGGATAGAGTTTCTAGAAACTTAAAAGAAGGCTCTCTTATTGAATTACATATTCTATCTTCTATTTATTTTATTGAATTACAACCTAAGAATCATTTAACGAACTCAAACTAGGTTAACCACTATAAATTCGAGTTCTTTTTAAACAAAAATAATTCTTTCGATCTACCCGGCTACCCACATAAGTTTTCACCACTGAGCGAGTGATCACGTCGCAAAAAAACTTTTTAAAGTCTCGTAAAAAGTTTGTAAAACTCAATCCTCTGCGGGCAACCAAAACAAACACGAACTTCAGAATTAAAGGACATGTCTGGTGTGTTAAAACCTCGGCTTATTTGCTGGACATCGCTATTTTTTTATTTATTTATAAAAACATAAAACTTTTGCTTAGGAGTTCTGTTCAGAAACTTCGGGTAAACTGCTAACATACGACTGGACTTTGAATGAATGCGGGAAAGTTGTTTAACGATGCTATGAGTCACGTCAAATAAAATATTAAAGCCAGATACCAATAGTGATTGAAAAGGGTATACTTAATTTTTACTTCATTTGAGGGGCAATCTGGATTTCCCTTTTGGTGTCCACTTGCATTCCGACTACAGAAATAGGTAAGTATAGGTTCTAATGATAGTGGTTACTTCATTAACATTTAATTTGTTTCTTATACCTAACCCCTTTGCCTCTTGGTGAATAAAGCACACACATCGTTATAGCCATTTATAAATCACAATGTTCCTAAAATATTCTTTCTTTGAATATATTTTTTTTCATTTAAATAGAATCTCACCCCACTCTGGGGGTTATTTTCTATCCTTTTATTGTGTTTACAAACATAATTATGTGTTTGTAATTTCACACACACATCATACCCAGACCTGGAATCACCATCCTGGAGACATCCTGGCAGGATCGCCAAGGACGTGACTAGCTTGTTATTGAAAACATGTTGATCCTTGAATAATACTTTTATTACAGTCCTATAATTATTGAGTACTTTCCTTAAATGATTACTACGACAAACCTTTTTTTTTGTCAAATCAATCAAATGACTTCTCCCGCCCAGGGTAAGTCGAGAGAGGATGCCAGACTCGTACAGACTAAAACCACTACGTTCCTTCTCCTGCTTAAAGCCGAGGCCGCGGTACCACATTACACTTGACCAGCAACCCCAGCTGAACATCAGCCCTATACGGCCCGTGTGTGGTGGTCTATTGGCTCCGCGCACGGTGCGTAGCGTCCCGCGCGCGCCTCAAGCGCGCTCGGGTCTGGTTCTGGTCGGGCTGGGAGCACCCTTGGTCGCTGTCGCAGATTCGCGCTTAAGGTGGCCGGAGTTCGTTTCTCGACCACTACACAACTGGAACAACAATTTGTAGATCACACAAAGAGTATTTGCTTGAAGGAATCGCACCCACTCCATGATAGGCGACACTATTGCCCAGACACATCATAAACTGTGAAGTTATAATAGACCTGTGACGTCATACAAATAATATGTGAATATCGACATCTCATATAACCTAAGACTGTTCGCAAATACAAAGAAATATTATAAACGTGCCCTCAAAACGTTATTGATACAACTTTCAATCCCTCTCGACGTGATGAGAATATCATCTTTGTTTTTTGAACTGACTCCAGAGTTACAATTGAAAGGTCGTAAAAGCCAATAGAAAAACTATACGCATAAATGAAAAAAAGAAAAAGTATTTACCTATGTCCTCTACAACTTATGTAGGACATCTAACTTTATAAGCAAATGGTATCAGGAATAAAACTTTACAGTTTTGCTATATTTTATTATTGGAATTTCTTTCTTTTATATTTTTTCTTCTTGTCTGTTGCAACTGCATTGATTCATACACAAGGGGATTGCTCATTAAGACTAAAAACAGATACATATACTTAAGAATTCTTCCTTGAATCAGCGTTGAGTGTTAACGCACTCAACATAAAGCTGAAGTGGAAGCCCATCTGGAATAGGGCATATTTGACCAGACCCTCAGTTTTGTTGTGAGTAATGTTGATAATTCATGTAAATTCATGACCATGGTATAAATACCACGACCCGTCATTACCTGGCCACGAGGCAGTCAAATTGGAATTAATATAACATAGTTATTTCCTTAACAACCGTTTTCCTCCTAAAATATTAACAACTATTGATCATTGGGTCTAGTACAGATTGATAACCCCCCAGCAAAACGTTTGTTGGCAATTTTCCTCAATTACATAACAATTTGAAGGGAGCGATAAGCAGCTGGTACTCTCACAAGATCTTAGAGTAAATAAGTTGATATACATCGTAATAAGTTCCAACTATTCAATAAAATATGATAATTGCGCTTTCAAACTCGGTACAAATGTACTGACTCTATCTAGGGGAATATGTACTTTCTACACTGTTCAGAAGGTATGCTTTTGGGTAATAAAATATTTAAGTATAAAATAAAATATTTATTTGAGTGTAGCTCTTAATAATATCTCTTATCACAAACCATGATGCCATGCACTTTTTTGATCGACTAGCAGACATGTTGCCTGTTGGTAAGTAATCAGTATATAAAAATTAACAATGTAAGGATGGTGGGGTATGGTTTGGATCTCTGGTAACCTTACTCGTAAACGGAACACAACGCAAGTATTTCTTCACTCCTATCTTTATGATGCCGTAGTGATTCGGATTGAGCTGGTCGACTATTTGTGCCAAAGTAAATACAAAATTTTAGAATTTTGTAGCGATATCTATCGCACAACATGCAGCAACAGTACCAGTCACGTTCAAGATCCTACATCGCGGTATAAAAATTACCGATGCGATTAGAATAAGTGCAAAATCCCGACAACAGCCCGACTCTCTGTTCCCTAAAAAAATGTTTGACCTCCCTCACACTTAAATAACACCATATTACATATTATTATAATCAGTTCAGTCATACAGCATCCGGCTTAACGCCATCAATTGCTGTGCTGTATCTAACGCATTAATAATAATAAACTCCCAAATATATTGTTATTGTGTCAAATAACATGAAACATATTTAGTTATCAGAGGTAAAAGTCCGGTTATAAATTTGTTTACTACGTTTTATCAAGTTTAAATATTATTATTTTGTTGATTCAATGAATGTTGACTTTATTTAATTGTAATTACATAACTATGTTTATTCTTCATATTGATTGCACCACACATAATTGAGTTGTCAGTGAAGTATCTACATGCCGATGGTCATTGAGTTACGGATTACGAAATTGTTGATAGTTGAATTGTTGGTAATACGTCATAAATAGACCTAGAGACATACATAACTGTTGGAATCTGGATAGACAATGTCCAATATAGGTTATAACACAGTTTTATTTTATTTATTAGCTTATAAGGTATTTAATAGCTAATAAGGTTTTAGATGTTATAAGTTCTTATTTGAAACAATGAGTTTATTTTTGCAAATAGGCCATAAAACGGCACATTTAGACGTCCAATTACATATATATGTAAAAAACTAGATGAAGCCGGCTTCTCTCTCTTCTCTGTTTTACATACTCATTGAAGCCTAATAGGCGAATCCTTGGTTATATTCATTCTTATTGGAACTTAAATTATAACGCGCAACTCTTTTAGTAATAGTTTGTTATGTTCGTACTACTTTGCTGTTAATCCATACTAATATTATAAATGCGAAAGTAACTGCCTGCGAAAGTGTCTGCCTGTCTTTTCTTCACGCCTAAACTACGGAACCGATTTGTGTGAAATTTGGTACAGACATGGTTTAGAACTCGAGATAGGACATAGGGTAGTTTTTAAATCCTACCTATGCCACGCGAACAAAGCCGTGGGCAAAAGCCAGTAAGTAATACGGAGGAAGATTACAGAAAAGTATTTAATATCTAGTAAGTAACAAAAGTAAAACAAAATTTATATTGGCAATATCGTAAATATAATGTTCGACCAGCAAATTTCCACTAAATGCAGCTGTAACCAAGTTAAATCTGTAAGCTAAAATGCGTTCACTACAAGCGCCCACGTGTACAACATAAAGTGCTACCCACCTGCTCTGATTATTCAGAGCCTTGAAGCGAATACGCTTTGCTTTTAACTGATTATACGCCGGTTAAATTTAGTTCATATATTAGATCTCTGTCTTACTAAGTCAGATGAGGTTATTTGCTACTTACAGAAACGTGTTTATTGTTTTTTTTTTTGTTTTAATAAAAACGTTGCACCACCCACACTAGGATTTTCTCCTGTGTCGTGGGTGCGTTTACAAACATACAATTTCACATGCACATCACACCTAGATCCGGAACAACAATCTGTGGATCACACAAAGTGTTGTTTCGTGCGGGAATTGAATCCGCGACACGTTGCGAGGCAGCCAGTTGCCCAGCCACCGCGCCAACCGTGCAGTCAATTTACTTTGATATTTTAATAATTATCTATCACCAATATAGTTATCCCTGTATTGTTTTGAATGGCAACTATGGTGAGACCTAAATTAAAATTTATTAAAAATAATAACTTACGCGACACGTTGCACGGCAGCCAGTAACAGTTGCCCAGCCACCGCACCAACCGTGCAGTTAATGCACGCTGGGCAAGGACAGCTAGCATTGATTTACAGATTTGTCGGCTGGAAGCGATCAGCATCTTCAAGAAATAAGAAAAAAGCATTTGTTATCATCAGTACTTTACTGATTGTAAATGTGAATTATTTGTTAAATTGAATTTATATATTAAACTACACATTGGCCATAATAATTGATTCCTGCTCTGATCGTAATGGGCAATTGTATTTAAAACTATTCAGACCAATAGAACTCTGTTGTGTTTAAAGTCCATTAAATCTGTTGTAGTCAAAATTTTTATGAACAAATGTAGGATAGACGTGCTTTGCCACTATTGGACCAGCACAACCAGAGCGATATTATGGCCTTACAAAAAACCGACGTGTACACTTGCGTTGCATTTTGCCGTTTGAGAGCCTAGAACCCTTTCCCCACTATCTAATCCTATACACCTACATGTGATCCGACCACCTATGTAAGGTGATCCGAGTTATCCCATTTCTTTTTGTGAGAGGAAAAACATCAAATGACTTTTCTGGCCCACGGTGGGGCGAGTGTCATAGTCAGACTCAGATTCTATCTCACTAAAAACCCACATTCCTTCTCCTGCTCTAGGCCAAGGCCGCGGTACCTACCTTATAAGTCTGTAGTGAGGTCTCAGAAAACAAAACATCACAGAAGAAAAAAGCTGACTACGTTACAACTTTTACGTTAATCAAGTCAGTTACTAAATTCTATGTCCATTTAAAAGATTGTTTTCAAAAAGCACCCTAAAATAACGAGGTATATCAAATTCCCTAATAAAAATACTGTTGATTTTTTTTAAACAAAATTAACGCCGGAACGAAGAGATTAACAGCTTTGAAATTGACCTCTCGTGACCCACTTCACAGGTATTTCCTCTTCAATCTAAGACCTTCATCAATCAGCTTGGGTTTATTGGTTCCTCAGTTTACAGGCAACCAATAAATAAAATTGTTACACTTTTATAAAAAAAAAATAGAACGTTATTGAACTTTAAATTAAATCTTAAGTTTTACCGTTGACGTTTTAATAGAAAAATTGATTTTGGAATAAAAATGTTTAAAAAATATTAGATTTTTTTTTTGCTTACGCCTATTAACAACCGCAATACCGTAAGAATTACCAGTGCATTGCCCGCCTTTTTGGGGATCAGGGTTACGGAAATTTGATTGGGGCAGGGAAGAAGGATTGGGCCTCCGATAACCTCACTCACATGGCGTGGCTCATTTTTGGTTGTATCACGCTGGTTTTCTGTCAGGCCGTGGTATCAGTCCGGTCGAGCCGACCCAATCGTGTCTGCTCGCTGCTGCATGGCTTTACACGATTAAACATGTCCATAAATAATTATACTTTGCATAAATTTGCATTATTTTTAATATGAATTTCGTTACTTACCTATATATACATTTTCGAAAAATATAATCTCATTTTAAAAGTAACGAAGATTAAAGAAAAAACTCACAAGGGCTATACTGGTATCCATAACAATTTTAATTTCCTGTTCACTTGAGCATTCTTTATTTTCACTACGGTCATCCAAAATTGTATTGAAAAACAATATGGCAGCCATATTTCGTCATATCCTGGCTTGGATCGTTCTGTGTCGCTGTTGCATTTCCCCCGGCTTTACGAGTAGTTCCTTCCGTTCCAGCCTTCGTTCGTTCGATCCCCGGGCCGGATTTCAAATGTTTTTTTCTCATTTTTCGGCTTCGTTTTCCATCAATTTTTTTTCGCTCTCGGCCTATATTTAGGCTTTGGAATAATGGT